TGGCGGCGTAGCCAGTGGACGTTTGTTTATAGCAGCCATTGCAGCGAGACGGGCAGGACCCGGCGGACGACCTACACCGAAATGATGACGCGGCTGCACAGTTTGAGTTGTTTGTCCGGCTTGAGAATGTGGATGCTGCTGCTGCTGCTGCTGTTGTTGCTGCTGGCCAGGCACAGGGCCTGGTCGACGGGCCAGCACCAGCTGCTGTGCCGTCGGTGCCGTGGAACGAGGACGCGGAAATATGTCATCCCGTGTGCTAGGCAGAGCTGGCTTCGGTGACGGCTTGACGGCCTTCGCATGCGTCTTCGCTTGGGTCGCATTCGCCGGCAAACTGGCCCGGGGCACCGGGGTCATCTTGACGGGCGAGGTGGAGCTGCGCAAGCTGTTGGCCGCAGCAATGGTCATGGATTTGCGGCGCTGCAGCCGTGTCAGACGCTGCTCGGCGGCTGCCTTTTGGATGGGCAGCTGCTTGATGCGATTGGCCGCACGACGCAGGCGCCGGCCACCGCCCACGCTGGCGGTCTCATCGGGACTGTCCTCGGCCATTTGCTCGTAAAGCGGATCCGTGGCCGGCGAGACTGGTGGCTTCTTGCCAATGATCAGGCAATTGGATGAGGAGTTTGTGTTGCTTTGCTTGATGAAGAACTCCGGCTGTTTGGCAACGGCGCTGTTGCTGGTCCCGGCGAAGCTGGCCACCGAGCCTAGTGATGATGTTGTGGGCGTGGCAGTGCCCTCTGACAACTCCTTGTCGTCGGGATGGGAGCTGTTTTCCTCCTCGCTGGCAACTTCGTCCGTTTCTGCGGCGTTCGACTTGTCTTTGTCCTGCTTCTCCGTTTGCTCTTCCTTCTCCTTCTCCTGCTGCTGCTGCTGCTTGTTTTCTTCCTTAATCTTTGATTTATCTTTATCTGGTTTATTCGTGTCGGGCTCCGGGGTCATATTGCCAGCAGCTGCCTGTTTCAGTTTAGCCAGCGGCTGCTCCTCCACTGCTTCGGTAATATCCTTTTTCTTGCCTTTATATTCATCGAGCGTCGGCTCTTTGCTCTTGCTCTTGCTATCCCGCTCTCGCTTCGGCTCGGGCGATTCCCTCTCCTGCTCACCTGCGTCGGACAGAGACAGATGCGGCTTCAAGAACTTAAGCTCCTCGGCCAAGTAGAAAGCCGGTCGCTTCAGCCCGTTGCGGTGACGATGCTCGTCCGATGTCGTCCAGCGGACATAATCGTTGCGAATCTGACGCCAGCGGCGCTTGCACTTTTCCACTGTACGCGTGCGAAAGAGAGAGGCAGATATATGTAGCTACAGTGTGAAGTTGGCAGAGAGATCGGGTCACAGGTAATCGAAACATTTGCCTGGTCGGGTGTGGGTGGCTGGCTGGCTGGCTGGGTTGGGTTGGGTTGGGTTGGGTCGGTGTAGCTGTTGTAGGTGTGGGTGTGTGTGTGTGGGTGGTTTATTTCGATACCTGAGCCTATAAGGCTGAAAATCCGAACAGATGTTCAGCTCCGACAGGCTGCCTGGTAATCTGGCCGATATATTGACTCTAAGCCTAGCTCAATAAGTGCCATAAATGTAAACACGTGTGCATTCAAATTGCTCAAGTTTCGACTTTCAGAAATTATCATGCCATAAAAGTATACAACTCTTTTGTTTTATGTTCGTAATACCATCTCTTATCCAAAACTTAACTTAAATAACTATCATAATTACTTTCTTAAGAAACTTAGATAAAAGAAACTATAACTGAGAAGTGAACGCAGATGTTCTTGGAAATAAAATCTCCTTCTGCATTCAATATTCAATCGATTCTTTCGATCGGAGCTATTCGACAATAAAACTTATATTTAAAAAAAAGGAGTTCCGATACTGTTCCGATGTCAAGGCTAACAATGATAGGCATTAAGAAATTTTTCTAGCAGCAATTTTATTTACGATCCTCAATCGATCTTAAGAAAGCTACGTGTTTTAAGTTTTGGGTTGCACATTTATCGCCAAAATAAAATAAAATTCTTGTGCTAGAACTCAATTTTTTGGCCTATAGCGTGTTTACAACAACTCCGATTCGATGAACTCGGCTCATTTAACGTAGAGTAGAAGAGGATCTTTGTAAAACTTAAACTTGATCGAGGCTTGCTTAGAAAAATACAGAGATACACAAGTATATGAACGGACAATAGGATGGATTTTATCAATTCTTTAACAATTCAAATTTCGCTAATCTCAAACGGAAAAGTTGTTTTGTTTGCCTCAAAAATTAAAACAATCGCGTTTTCAAGACCAAAATAAAATACCCGGCGTTGGCTGGCCAGAATCACCTTCGCAGTGACGAAATTGGAAGCTCGAATACGTTTATTTCTTTCATTGTCCCTGTTTCAGCTTCTCGCATTCTTGGGCTTTGTTATTCACGCTGTAAAACGACACGGAATCGATTTCACAATCACTCAAACACGAAACAAATCTATCGAAATCAGCTTGATTTACCTCACTGAGAACTTAACAAAACTGAGTTAATTGCATAAACGAACTAATTTCATATCATTTAGATTATTTAATTATTCGCTGAAATATTTTGCACAACCGCTCGATCTGGTCGAGTCGAGAAACTTTCAGGAACTGACTTGAAACACGAATTGCTAACAGTACAAGCAACTCAATTGACAGGATGTGGCTTTGATACATAAGTCAAAGCCATCTTTTCAAGAGCAATACAAAGAGCAAATTTCGATTTCTGAGTAGAGATGAACAAGCCAAGAAAAATTATTTCAATTGTCGAGCTGCTCTCGAGCTATTGAACATATGGAATATTAACAGTTAATATAATTAAATATATATTAACTATGACAATAAAATGACGAGTTCGCATTATTTTAAAGAAATTTTTTAACTGACTTAAAGTTGTAATCAAAGAGATAATATGTTGGAGTCTAATTTGTTATAGAAATCGCTTAAGAAATGTTTAAGTTGCCAGTTTCATGTAAAGTATTTCGAATATTGGAATAGTGACTTTAAAACTGCAATTCAGTGACTTTCAAAACGTAACTTCAAAAAGGAGTCGATGACTGAAGTATTTTATGCGAAGTCCATCTGTCAAAATTGTCATTTAGGAAGTAACTAAATAAGATTTAACTGCATCTAACCTCGTTATATCTTATCCAATAACTAGCTTTAAAAGCGTTCAAAAGACAATTAAAAAAAAAAAACTATATGCTATTTACCATTTGCATGAAAACTATCTATTTGTGTAACTTTAGACTGCAAAATAAGAAACTTATCGCTAGCGAAATACACGCAGAAACTAATCTAAGAATATGTGAAAATATGTATTTTTAATTTTTAAGCTATAAGCTTTTAATTAAGCTCAACAGTTTGACAATCTATAATTATTTTCAATTTTCAAAGTTCATGCGAAAACATATTCAATTGAGTTGAAAATTTTGCTGTCCTTTTGAAATGTCAGGTGAAAAAGTACAGTGTAGTCAAATTCTAAATTTGACGATAAAAAATGGCAATAAAAGTAAGTTTCGATAAAACATATAAATTTATCGATTTAAGCTCGTTTGATTTTTTGACGTTACTAAATTAGTAGTAATTCGGTTGAAGTTTCATTTACGATTAAATCTATTAATAAAGTTAAAAATATGAATTTAAAAATAAAAACATGCTCTTAAATAAAGCTACAAGGAGTCCTAATTATATTTGATATTTGATATTGAATTTATAACCAATATTTACCTAAAATCCTTAATAAGAAATATCAAATTTAATTACCATAAATAATTTAACGTAAATTTTAAAGTTCCAATTAGTTAAATCCAATTTGAATGCGCACGTGCAATTTGGCAATTAGCAACACTTTGAGTACTGCCAACTTACTTTTAACAGTCGCCACACAACACTTGTCTGTGGCGATACACGATAACGATAAACGCAAATGCGCACGCTCACTTTGCAACACTACTTACCCGACTCTCCCACCTCTGAGGCAACCAAATCCCAGCAGTTCTCTGATGGTAGTCTTTTTCTATAATGTTCATGACTTTGATCATATAGAATCGGTTGATTCTCTATTGCGCGGCACAGTTTTGCATTTGATTTAAATGCAGACATGGCTTAACAACTAAACACACACACTAGCGAGCACTTTGAGTTGATTTTATATTTATTTTACTTCAATTCAAAACTGGCGAGAAACTTGTCCGACAGCAACACGCGTCGTACGTAAAGCGAACTGACACAGCTGCGAATATGACACACATACACGCACACACACATTCGTGTACATGCCGTCAGAGAGCGCGAGAGTGCCCAGAGAGACGATTGTGTTGGTATTTGTGAATGTGATGCAAACTAAATTGGCAGGCCAAACTAGAGGGTTGCATTATTGTCGTCGCCGCCGCCGATTTCTTTCGATAGCAATTTCCTTTTGCAGCAAAGCTTTATTTGCAGCTTCTAATACATATCCGCGTCTATTATATGCAATTTAATACATCTATACATCTTATTTATTCACATTGAATTGGCGATTGACACAAAAGTATTGCAGCAGATAGAAATAAAGCGAATATTGCTGAATATTGTTAGTCTGTAACATTACAGGGTGTCGACGTACAACAGAATTTCTACAGTATACATATGCAACCGATCAAACATCATTGCCAGCCGGTATTATTAATAACCGACTCGCTGTAGCAGCTGCTTTAAAGCTGGCAATGCTTCTGCTCTCGCTCACTCTCTTTCTCTGAGAGAGTAGCTGTGAATGTGTGCGTGACCATAAGCGTCGTGTTATTTGCTGATATTTCGGGGGTTGTTCGGCACAATATGTAGCAGGCCCCTTCTCGTTGTTATTTATACTGTCGACGCCTATGCACCAATTGAGTTGTTTTTTTGCCGGCAAACAAGCTGTTTACGACAATAACAATACGTGCATATGTACATACATATGTATACATGTATATGATTCATTTTAGATGCTGGTTGACTTGGTTCTGTTAGCGTTTAGCAGTCTAAAATATATGAATTTAATAACTTATATACTCAACAAGTTATGGTTGAGCGTTGTAAAAAAATGAACACATTGACGTTGGATTTTCTGTCGCATTTTCAATATTCTTATCAACGCCTTACAGCAACACCGTCCGTAAGTTGGTGAGAGAGAGAGAGAGAGAGAGCGCGAGAGTAACCGTTAACCCAAATAAATTGTAATAGTGTGCGAGCACGAAACTCAACACAACAGCAATTTCACTGCGGCAGCAACAGCAGCGACGACAACAGCAACAGCAGAAGCAGCAGCAGCAGCAGCAGCAACAGCAACAAAAGGCAACCAAAAGCGACTGCAAATCTTAGCAAAACCAGTGGAAAAAGCAATAAACAGATATAACAAATTGCAGGTAGGCGGGCGTAGCTCAAGCTAACACAAGCGCAGGCAAATTTCAATAAATGTAATTATTGCTGGCATCCCACAGAAAACGCGCCAAACAGCTGTTGCGCCCTGCAGGCAACAGAAATGTCTGAAGCATTTTCCGTGTGGACATGCAGCAACTAGAATTCGTTTCTCTTGTCACCTGTGCGCAATGGTTTGTTTTGGCATGCGTGTGTAAATTGTGTCTGTGTATTTGTGCAGAGAGAGAGAGACGAGAGAGCGCGTAAGCGTCGCTGACAGTTTCTCTGGAAACGGACGCAACCAAGTTGCAGTTTTGCTTGGGACTGTGTTGCTGCGCAGTTGACGACTCGAATAATTTGTTGTTTTTGCTATTTTATAGTGAACGAGGCAACATCAGCAGCAGCAACATCAACAACAGCCGCAGCAGCAACAACAACAACAATGAACACACGACGCAGCACCGGCAGCATCAAGTCCAGCAAAAGAAGTATAAGCCGCTTGTATGTGGCGGCACTGACCACAAAGACGATAACACCGGAGCTGCACGCAATAAACGCGAAGATCTGCCGTTTGGTGGAGCAGCATCCCTGCATGTACGATCGCTCGCATCCGGCGTACATGCGCAAATCTCATGTGGAGCAGGCCTGGGTGGACATATCGAAGGAGATGAATGATAGCGGTAAGTGGCGCGCATCACAGCAACATGCTCTATAGATTTCGCATAAATCGAATTCCACAATTTTACAGTTGATAATTGCAAGGAACGCTTTAGGAATATCCGCACCAGCTTTGCGCGATCCATCAACGTGCAACGCGGCTCGAATCGCGTCAAGCCCTACTATCTCAGCGAGGAACTTGAGTTTCTCAAAAAGCACATCACGCCCGGCGTGCCTGTGCCAGTGAAGGGCAGACGGTCACGTGACAGCAACAATCGCAGGTGCGATGATAACGACGAGTATGATGACAACGAGCACGATGATGAGGAGCATGTGGGCGCGCTGGTCCATATAAAACACTCGCTGAGCAGCGATGAGCACGAAAATGAGAACAGCACCGATAGCTCTGAGTGGGTGGCTGAGGAGCATGCGCAGAGTGTCGCCAGCCAAACGCAGGATAAACCCGAGTCTGAGTTGCACCCGCTGAGCGATGAGGACGACCAGAAGCCGAAGGATTTGGTGCAGCCGAATGCCGTGCCCCAAACCTGCCCCTTTCCGACCAAAAAACGGCGACGCACGGTCACCGAGGCACCCAAACCGAGCGAAGTAAGCATGTGAATAAATTATCAACTTTCTTAATGTACTACAGCTGCCATCACCTCACCCTCTGTCACCCATAGCCAGCCGAAGTCGGCGCTGACACTGAAGACACGCCCGCCGATGTAAAGCCACCCGTCATGGACTTTGATGATGCCTTTCTGCAGGGCCTGCGTCCCGAAATGAAGCACATGAACTTCCATCAGAAACTGTTCTTTAAGCGACGCGTTTACGAGCTGCTCAGCGATATATTTGAGGGCGGCGAGAATGCCAGTAGTCAACCACGTACCAATGGACAGGCTGGAGCTACCAACTCGCCGTTACCTCTGCAGCATTTGGGCCTTTTGGGCTGCTCGGGAACGCTGCAGCTGCCCAAGCTAGCGCCGAAACCCTCCAAAGATCTCTAAGTAGAAATAACATTCAATCGACTAATGCCCAAAGACGGCCGCAGCAGCAAACGGAGCTGTGTAATCCATTCGAATTTACGCTGTACAGTAATTTCACATACCCATTATTTTTTGGGTATAGTTATAGTTATAAGACGTTACTATTTTTAAAATGTAATACATTAAATACATATTTACATAAACGATTGTATAATTTTAAATAAGTTTAAATCAGGATACAAATAAATTGTGAGACTTTTATTGCAACAGTTCAATTGATTCTAAGGCCATTTTTGTTTTCTATACCCTAGAACGGTATGGGCGGTTAGCAAGGGCCGATAATTGGGTAGAGACTCAAATAGTTTCGGACAGTATGGAATCGGAACACTGTATTTTAGGAACTATCCGTGTGCAACACCTTTTTTTTTATACTAAGTAGGAACATTATTATGCTCAGACTGCCAACTATGTATGATAGCTACTGTATGTATGTCAGCTGCCTTAGCAACAATCGGACAATAATTCAATAGGTTTTTGTTGCCTAAAGTGCGACTAACTATTTAGTAACTGACTAAAACTCGCTTGAATTATTTCGTCATTTTTTCAATGAAAATAGTAGCATAAATATTTGAATAATTCTCAAAAATACATATTTTCTTTCGTGAATTGAGCGTGTTTTTAATTTAAAGAGCGGATGTGGAAAATAAACCATTTTGGCGAATCTTAAAGGGAATTTATTAGCAGTTCCTTTTCTTGAGCAGTGGGAAATATTTTCCCAAAAGTTCCCAACACTCTTTTCGATACGGATGTCGACAATTATGTATTCCAAGCTACAAGTCTTGCTTCTGGAGTGGCAAAAATAAGTAGATAAAAACGGACGGAAGCAGGGACAGTGCAGAAAAACAATATACTTCCTTGAAAGAGTATATCGGCTTTGTCTATCGACAACGCCTTGGCAGGAGTTTCTAGAAGTCGTGATTAGTGAAAAGCTGCAGGTTCATGTTTATATATATATATATATTCCAAGGCAAGCCTCGGTAATTGGCGTATATATTGACAGTCGGACGGACAATATGAAAACAAATATACTCTTGTTCACTTTGTGCACAGAGTACAACAGCTGCAGCTCTTAAGCTTTCCAATCGGAAGTCAACAAATTATGTAAATGTATAAAAAGGGTTGCATACTTTTAGGATGCAAACGAAATCGAAAATTTAGTTTTAGATTTTGTAACACTTTCTTTTGAGGCAAGGTGATTTTAAATTGTTTTAATATGATTTAACTGGCAACGTTTAACTGTAAGATGTTTTAATTTAAGGCCATAGTTAAAAGTCAAGTGTGAATATTGTATAATTTGCATAATATGTTATATTATATATATATGTATATATTTTTTTTTTAGCAAATACTTTTGTAAATGTAAACATTGATTTTAGAGTTGTTTAAATAATAAAATAATTATTTATATATCGTTCCCGCATAAATTATGGCATAAAATATATAAAATATTATTGTTATAATTTGATTGTGTATTTCTTTAACTTTTATTTTATTTTTTTTTTGTGTGGTGTGCAATTGGAAATCGTGTGTATACCAATATAATGTATAAGAAAATACCACTGTTACAAAAATTTCCATTTCGTTGCATCGATTTCAAGATTTAAATACGTAAATTAGTTAAGATAGTTATGTACATTCATCGATATATAACGTATATGTTTGTATATATATAATAATAATAATAATGATAATAATAATGATAATAATAATAATAATAATAATGATTGGGCGGTGGTAAATGCAACACCCCACGCAAATTAGAAAATTTATATCAATTGCACTTTAAATTATTTAAATATATATGATTACGATTACCTGTATATAGATCGTTCTCTAAATGCAGAAACAAAACGTCGCAACTTGTTTTTTGTGTATATCTTTTTGCTTATATCTAAGAAATTGTGGCGCGTTCTATATCATTATTTATCATATTAGCTTATCAACTTTAGGCCAATGATATTTTGACCGGACCCAGCGGCAGCTGTTTCATATAGTTCCAGGCATCAACACGGGTCATTCGCGCCGTGGATGCACCATTAATGCTGAGGATCTCATCGCCATTGCGCACCTGATTGGTCTTCTGGGCAGCACCACCTACGATAGAGAATGGGAGTTAAGGACGGAGCCACCAGACAAATGGCATTCAACTAACCCATGAAAACCTTCTTGACGATCAGCGGGCGATTGCCTAGCGGCGAGTCAAAGCCACCCTCTATGGAGAAGCCCAGTCCACAGCTGTCTTTGACAATTTCTACGCAGCGTGCGCCGCCGCCGGCAGCAGCATCCTCAGCTGCAACAGGAAACGGAAATTAGTTATAACTAAATATTCGACTTGCTGTGGCGCTATGGACTTACCCTGCGCGCGAATCTCAGCTGCTATGGCATGACGAGCCTCTGCTGCGCGCTCAAGCAGCTCACTGGTGCTCAGCTTGGCCGCATCGCCGCGTGAGAGCTGGCGGCGTGCTCGAATGGTGGCAATGGTGGCCTCCGCATCGTTGCCGTTCACCTCGTCCAACAGGCTGGCCGGCTGCTGGGGGCTGCTGGTGCCTGTGCTGGGCGTGCTCGGTGTGCTGGGCACTGTGGCGCTGCCGCCGCCCTCATTGGATACAATGTCCAGGTCCAGATCGAGAGAGCGTGAGGCCTTATGATAGTTGCGTTTGCGTTCGTAATCCAACTCGGTGGGCTTCTCATTCAGCGAACTGAGCGAGCCCAGCGAGGAGCGTTTCTTGTTCAGCGGTTTGATGACCAACGATTCGGAGCGTGTCACCACTAGGACAACCTCTGGTCGTGGTGTCTAACAAGAGAGAGGATTGGAATATTGCTTAGGATAATCTAAGGAAGCAGTTTAATATGCAGGGAAACTCACCTTTAGTACGCTGATCGATTCGCGATGGGTCAGGCCGCGCATGCTCATGCCATTGACGGCCAGAATGCGATCGCCCTTCTTCAGGCGTCCGTCCTTGGCAGCCGGAGTGTTGCTTAGTATCTTGTGGATCTATAAAAGCAGCAGAAGCAGCATTAAAAGCTGTTTTATGCGATAGATATTTATATATATATTTAGGACATACGGTTATCTCCTTAGCCTCGTAGTCGGAGCCACCGGCCAGGGTGATGCCAATGCTGCTCTCCGGCGTATCCCGCTGCAGCACTATGATAAAGGCCTCGGGCGTCTTGAGCGGCGGATCGGCCTCCTCGACAATCTGTTGCACATCTTGTGCGGTAATCAAACTCTGATTGCTGCCCAGCGATGAGAAGCTGCCAAACTCGGTGGCCGTCTCCTGTGTGGTGCTCACATTCTGTGTTGTGGAGCTAACGCCCGACGAGCTGGAGGCCAGCGAGTCTAGGGAACTGAAGCGTTCGTGATGCGGCTTCGTGGCAACAACTGTGGCAAGCGCCTTGTGCATGGGCAGCGGAACTTGAGGCGCAGCAGCTGCTGCTGCACTGCGCTCAAATTTCTCGCGCAGCTCGGCTGTGGTCTGCGACTTGGTGGTGCCCAGTGTCAGCTCCCGCTTTGGTGTCTGTGTGCGCTGTGGCATCGGGCTGATCACGGGCTTGGCCTGCACCACGCGCAGCTTGGCCTGCTGCGTGGGATCTGCCTTGAAGCTAGCCTTGCGCTCCTCATCGATGAACATGGCACTGATCTTGGCCGGCGTATCCGAGCGCCGGCTGCTGTCGTCCGTATCCGAAGTGAGCTCCACATAGGCAGCCACATTTATCAGCTTGTCCACCACCAGCTGCTTGGCCAGCAGATGATGTTGTTGTTGTTGCTGCTGCTGCTGTTGTAGTTGCTGCTGCTGCTGCTGTTGTAGTTGCTGCTGCTGCTGCTGCTGCTTGTAGCTGGACTTGAGGCGACGCCCGTTCAGGACGCAGGCCTCGCCATCGGTGCTGTCGTTGTCATTGTCGTTGCTGTTGTCCTGGCCGCGGCTCTTGGCGCTGCGGCACTTGGCCGACGCCAGGATGCTCTTGCGATTGCTTAAGGCCAGCTCAGTGCTGTTGCTACTGATGCTACCATTTAGCTGGCACTTGAGCACGCGTCGCGTTAGGTCCACTGTGGGCGTGCTGCCCAGAGAGCTGCAGCTGGCCTGGGAGCCGGCCGAGGAGCCCGACGTCAGCGTGGATGTGTTTGAGCTGGCTATCGAAGTGTTTGTCTCCGAGCTGAGCGTGCGCGTCAGCGCAAACTTCTCTGGCGGCGTGGGAACACGCGCCGTGCTCGAGAACACCGAATCTGTGTCGCTCTCCTGGTCCAACAAAAACGGCTGCTGCTGCTGCGGCTGTTGCTGGCAAAGATTAATCCTGCTGGGCATGCTTAGGGCGCTGGCAAGCGAAGTGCGTGGCGGCTTTGCGGGTGGTTGCGACAGCTGCGACTCCAGCGGACGACGCTGAACAGTCGCAAATATGCTGCGATAGTTGCTTATGTTGTTGTTGTTGTTGCTGCTGCTGTTGCCGCCGCTGCTGCTGTTGTTGTTGATGTTGTGTCTGAGTGGGCGTGTCTCGCCCAGGCCACTGTCCGTGGAGTCCTCACCGCTGGCCGCCTTCACCTGGCTCTTGATCTCGGGCAAATCCAGTATGGGCTCCAGCAGCTGCGGCCGCTCCGGTATGACTAGGCCGCGCAGCTTGGAGAGACTGCGACGCCGCTGCTCCAGTATATTGGTGATGGCCGCCTTGCGCGTGGCCGCATCGCCCTCACCCGAGAAGCTGATGCGGCGCTCCACAGCTGAGGCAACTCCTCCATGGCTGCGTCGCGGCAGCGAGGCATAATTGTAACTGTAGCTATTGCTGCTGCTGCTGCCGCTGCTGCTGTTGTTGGGCATGGTCAGTGTGTGCAGCGAGTACATGGAATCGGCCACGTGCAGCTGCGGCAGCTGCTTGGCCAGCTGGTATTGACGCTGTGCATCGTTCAGGTTCTCCACGCTCATGGCGCGTGTCTTCAGAGACGGTGGTGGCGTCGAGGAGGCGGCCTCCAACAAATTCTCGCTGCTCATGTTGAGCGGCTTGCGGGAGAAGGTGGAGGTAGCGTTGGAGAGGTTGGCGCTAGAGCTGGGTGTGGGCGGCGCAATGGTGTCCAGTTCGTTGCTGGATGAGAACATGGCAATTTTGTCGCGTACGGATTTCTCCGATTTTTCGTCTTTGCGCCAATCGCTGGATTTGCGTGGCGCACTCGCGCTCAAGGAACGTTGGTAATCACGTACGCCGCCGCTAGATGGCGTTGCTGCCAATTTTGTTGG